CGTATATCTATAGTCGATCGATACATCATCCAACAGGTATTGCAGAAAATTTGGTCAATTAAAAAGTATATATATGTAATTGACAAGTTCATAAATTTGATATATATGATATGCTTATTATATATTAAATCTAATTAAGGTCTTTTAATCAAGACAATTTATATACTGACCTTCACTAATGGAACTTCCACATAACGACACCCTCTTGATGTAGTAGCCAGTACCACACACACAGGGCCCTCCAAGCCCATCATAACCTTGCCATAGCAACTATATATATACAAGTAATCAAGACCAACTAGTCAAAGATTATTCTATGATGTAAATAATACATTTACGTATCAATTAATTAATGTAAAGTTTGTCTTTGAGTTCTTACATACCGTAAATATTGATCTCAACTGACTGTCATAGATATCGTTGGTACTGATGTTGTGAAATTTATGAGGGAATTGAACAAATGCTAGAGAGGGTGATATCTTGGGGTCAAGATGGAAGCACATTGCTTGCCGAGCTGAACTTGCATCATTGCAGTACATGTCACAATCTAACCCTAATACGTAAGGTGAATTGCTTATAACTCCCGACACACGTAGCTGATCAAAAAACCGTTAACGTTCACTTGTCAAATCATGTAGTAGATAAGTATAATTTAATTAAACTGTCAATTTGAATCATTGAAACGAACTATTATTTTTTAACACACGACAATCAATTGACAACTTACATAAGTAACTATATAGGGTAAAGAGAGAGAGATGCATGCATACAAGAACATTGAGCGCTCCAGCCTTGAAATGATGGGGATGAGAGGGTCTTTTCTCGCGAGAAACATAAACAAGGAGAGGCATATTTTTTGCTTCATTTGTTTGAATTGCATCATCACCTTCACTGGACGTTTCTTGTATTACCTGCCAAAATTCAAGATATGGTTCTAGGATTATTTTGTATTATATAATTAGAGATTTGTCTTTCCTTGCAAGAGTGTTTTTTTTTTTTTTCTTTCTTTTTTCTTTCGTTTTTCTTTTTTGTTGGATTCTTATAGCAAGCCGGCCTGATGGTGAAAAAATTAATGGTATGAATGGTGTGGAGACCACTTTTTTCCTATTTGTTGGATATATTGGCAAATTAGGAAATAAATGGGAAAGTAGGCATGTGAGTTGTGAGGCAAAGCTTACTCTATCAACGTTGCTAATTACATGTTAATTTGTTATGAGATAATAATTTGACTGTCTCAAATCAGAACATCAATGGGCAGAAGATTGAAATTTAAAATAAATATGATGTTAGATTACATATTGATTATAGTCCCTTGATGTGTTCTTAATTCAAAATAATTAATATGTATTTTATTTAATGTCTCCCATTAAATATTTAAATATATTAATTTACAAATTTTAATTTATTTTTTGACAAAAAAAAAGTTTTTTCAATTTATTAATTTTATTTAACATTCTTCAAACTTGAAAGACTCAATTAAAGTACCTAAATGTAAGTACCGAAATGTATTATATTGAATTAATGTACCTAAATGTTTGCACAAAAATGTATGTACAGAAATGTGCATACCTAAATGTATGCACCGAAATATATTATAATGAATTTAATATACCTAAATGAAGAAAACAAAGTACATCGAAATATATTGTATAACAAAAATTAGTTTATCTAAATGTTTACAACTAAATATATTACGATTAATGAGATGAAAATTATAATGAAATGAAAATTATAATGAAATAAAATTAATACATCAAAATTAGGAAGAAATAGAGAAATAATAAAAACATCAAAATATAATTAATAAATAAGGTGATTAATGTATCAAGGGACTAAAATTAGATTTTGATCTTACTCATAGTTTTAGTTTAAAAGTCATCTTTAACAAGGATTAAAATGAAGTTTTCTATATAATGGGTCCAAATAATTTGTAAAACTAAAGTACTAATCAACAAACAATGTGATAGTAGGGTACAAAATAACAATACCTCAATGACTGCAGAGTGATCTCGACGCATGTTGCTCCTGGCGTCCTCAATCCTTGCATTTTCTGTTACTCTTTTCTTAAACACCTCGTATGCGTTCTGCAATCAAATCCTTACCATCAGCTTTGTTACTGAGAAATATCACACTTATGTATCTTCAAACATGAGGAATTTGTTTTGAGAAATATTAATTGCAAAAAAAAAAAAAACAAAAAAAAAGGTCATCATGCACTCATTCCATGCTCCTTTTATCATTCTGACCATTTTAAGTATCTTCTCTAGAGTAGTATTATATTTATCATCTATTTGTATCATTTTTCTAATAGTTGTAGGGCACACCAACACATATGTGTCTCATTTCTATTAGAGAGATGGTATAATTGATGATAAAAACAGATGGTAAGAATGACATTTTTGTTATAATTAACCTTAATATGCTCTTTCTCTTGTACGAACTCACTACCCCCGGAATCACCATCCTCATAGCCATCTCCCTCTCCTCCTGCAGAGAAATAAGCCTCAGGAGCCGTACACTTGATCCCATACCTCCTACAAAACGGAAGCCACCACTTTGCAAACCTCCAAGCCTCTCTCATCCCATTCAAAGTCACTGCAGCACAGCCATCATCAGATAGATACACATGAAGCTTCTCTGGTGGATAGTCCATTGCCATGGCTGATAACACCGTGTTCATAACCATCACGCGGTTGGCTCCTTCTCTGGATCCGCGGTGCAAATTAACACGTCAATTGCCGGAAGTTTGTCATTCTCCGGCAACCTCTCTTGGAACACGGTTCGCGAAACTGTCCGCCAGCGAAATGATTGGCTGAGGAGCCATTCGAAGGCAAGGAGGATTTCTGAGGCAAAGACAAGAAGCCATGGTAGGGTTGTGGCTTTGGTATTGGGGTGTTGGAAGAAGAAAGAGGCTCTATAGTAAAACAAGAACGCTAGAGCGACTGAGTGGACGAGGATATGCGTTCGGTTGATGAAGTTTGAAAGCTTGTGGACATGGCAGAGATGGAGAGGGAACTTAGGATTCTCCATAGCTTCTTATGTGGCAATTATTTGTGTTATAGCACTCAAGCATGACAACAAGCAACACCCTCCACCTCCACTGTCTACTAAATAATTTAATAAAATTAGAAGAAAATTTTAAAAGTTTGTTTCTTTTTCTGGATATAGTAATTAATATGCGTTTTGTGTTTTCTTGGTCAGCACGATGGCCGCCGGTGGATGACTTGTGTGATTAATATAGGAATGAGGACGACTGGTTACTTTAATTATACCTATTAACCTTTGTTTTTAAACGGTTCTAGCAATAGAGTAAAATAATTTAAACATGTGAAGTTCCTGTACAAAACGTAATAAAAATCGACCTTATATGGTTAATTAATGGTAAAACTCCTTAACTACATAAATTAGTGATTCCCTTAACTTGTAGTCGTGTGATATTTTTTTCTTCCTTTTTGTTTCGAAGTACTTGTCATATGTTGAATAATAGTAGTTGACGTCTAAGAATTGGCTACAATATTTGTCATTAAGTAACATGTTCTTGAAACTGGGAGGTGTTAGCTGTTACCAGATTTTTATAAAGAGAAAAGACAAGAAAGATATCTTAAGAGCTTCTATATAGAATTCCTACTCGAATCATACTCTCTAAATCGATTTTGACCAAGACAAATGTAGCGGCTGGCGGTACACATCAGTTCATGTCAAAATTGTACTTGCAACCACGAAGCTTCCTGGCTGCATGCAATTTTGAGTCCTAAGTATCAGATTAGCCTCCTAAAAGAACAAGTTGTGAAATGAGTGGTGCCCAAGACTATCATTTCCCGGAAAACATCTTCATTTTTTTGGCATGTTTGGTTTGGACATGGCAGAGATTAATTTGTGCTGAGCCTACATAAACTTCGTGGAGTCAGAATGGTTTTGTTAGTATCTCAAAATATGACGATAAGGAATAATCTTTCTAGGTCAGGATTAGTTAGCTGGAAGTTTTTCTTGGGTTCATCCCTTTTTATCCAATATTAACATATATTGTTCATGTCATTTAGTACAATGATTTAGTGATATTTCTTTTCACTTATGAGTAGAAAGGTAGGTTTAGCTCTCGCGCAATTTCAATACCATATTATTAAGACAATCCCCTTGTGTAATTTAATTCAATATAAATAATATCATTATTAAAGGAAAACAAATGAAAATGAGTTAAAAACTTTGAGTTTTAATGATAAGGACAAAATAAAAGGTAAAGTGAATAGTACCAGGATTGACTTTATAGTATAAAAATGTGGTTTTTCGTTAAAGTGAACAGTACCAGATGCTTTTCGTTAAAGTTCCCTATTATTAATCTAACATATATTGTTCCTGAAATTATTCTTTTATGTTCCACAAGATACAGAGAATGCATCAGACTTTTCTGAATAAAATCTTAAGATATATAGCTCTAGCGCAAGTTTAATACCAAATTATTATGACAATTCCCTTGTATAATCTAATTCAATCTTTCATCTTGGTGGAAATAATATCATTATACTAACCTAACATTTATTGTTCCTAAAAGCATTCTTTTATGCTCCAGAAGAGACAGAGATCGCATGGGAGTTTTCTGGAACAAAAAAATCTTAACATATATAGTTTTCTAGGCAATTTTGTGCAGAGATTTATGGGACCACCAGATTCCATGCATCTGGTTGAAACCTTATAGAGGCTTGGTCTAAGAAAATACCACTTTTGCTTGGACCAAATAAGAAAAATACTTTTTTGGAGCAGGTAAAATAAAAAATTGATTCACTTGACGCAGTTATACAGAAATGGTTAGGGGTGGGTTCGGTTCCTTTAGGTTCGGTTTTTGACTGAAACCGGAAACCAAACCGAAATTACTGTTCGGTTCGGTTCGGTTCGGTTTTTCTTCGGTTTTTTTTCGGTTCGGTTTTTTTCGGTTTCGGTTTTTTCGGTTCGGTTTCAGTCCGGTTCGGTTTTTTCCTTTTTTTTATTTTATATATATATATATATATATATATATATATATATATATTTGGTTGGTAAACTAGCCCAAAAGAGGACCTGCCAAACAGCCCAAAAGATCCAACAAACTGTAAAGGCCCAATACATACAACACAACAAAATAAAAACCTAAGCTTTCACTGCAGCACCCGCCGCCGAGCATCCAAAACCCTCGCCACCAACCAACCGACGCCTCACTGATTACAACATCCAGACATGAGCACCTGTTTGAACACAGCCAAACAGACGAGCAACCAACATAGGGCTCCACAAAGACAAATCCAAGAACAACATCGGTCAATTTTCCTTCAAAAATTCACAAACCAACAATCCAAACAAATATCAGCAACTTCAAAAATTCACAACCAAAAATCCAAACAAACATCAACAACATGTTTTTAGATGATCAAAAAACACAAAAACAAAAAGAGAGATTGATTAAACAATTATAAGAAAATCCAAACAATTATATTAAACAAACATCAGCATAATTCATTGGGTTTTGCAACTTACTTTCTTTTCGCCATTTTTGATCCCACATATTTTTTTTTTTTTATCCCAAGAAAAATCATATTTTTCACGAGGAAACCACCAAGAAAGGGATTAGATTTTGGGTTTTGCAACTTTCAATCAGCAGTGAGTTTTGGGTTTTGTATGATCCCTTGAATCTGCCCTGTTATGGGTGTTGAATGAGATCCAGGCGGAATGTGGTAAGAAAAAAGTTGTCTTCTTTTGGGCTCTCTGGTCTTGAATATTTACCAGGAAGGATAAAGGCCAGAAGGGTTGGAGGAAAGTTGCGTTTTTGGTACAACTCACAAGAGTGTACAGAGAGTTGGTAATTTGCAGCAAAAAGGAAGGAAAGATTGTTCCTTTTTTGGTGCATTTTCTGGGTTTTTCTCTTTTGGTGGGTGGAAAATGAGATTGCAAGTTGAAGAGTAAAACTAGCAACAAAGAGGTACTTGGAAGTTGGAATGGACTGAGAAGCAACGAGTTGGCTATTCTCAAGTTTACTTGGTATTTGCAACAAAGAGGTACTTGGTATTTGCAGAGGGTAACAATTCCAATTTTCGAACCCAATCATTCAATCACAAAATAAATAGATTTACAAGATTGGGAAGAAATCGATGAAATTGATACAGCTAGAGCAACTTTACGAACCTGAACTTCTTGAATCAGGCATCGCAGCGGTGGGAGAGATAGGTTCTTGACGGTGGGAGAGAGAGAGAGAGGTTGAGAAGTCAGAGAAGATGAAATGGGAATAAATGGGGGACGGCTAGTGTTTGTGTTTAGATATGTTATAAATATAAGGAATTAAAGATCCAGAATCAATATAAATATTTTACTAATACAATTATAGCAAACAAAGCTTGTTGTCAAGTTGGCTGAAGCAAATACTCATCAACCAGGAGGGAAGGGGTTCGAAACCTCTAACCTTTAGGTTTTGAGTATTTGTGTAGGATTTATATAATTAATATATATTAAATAAATAAATAATATATATTATATATAAATCGGTTCTGTTTGGTCCGGTCTGGTTTCTGGACCACCAAAATCGAAACCGAACCAACCTATTTCGGTTCGGTTCGGTTCACCTAGTTCGGTTCGGTGTTCGGTTCGATTTTTTTCGGTTTTCGGTTTTTTAAACCCACCCCTAGAAATGGTAGGTATCACTCATTGATACGGAACGCACAGCTCAATTCTTATATGCATCTCGAAACGAGTAGGAAGAAATAATAGAAAATAAAATATAGCGGTAGAAATAATAGAAAATAAAATATAGCGGTAGAGAAGGATATCCTACTCAAGTCAATGTTCAATTCAATCAATCAAAAGAGGTGAGGGTGATCTCTTTTTTTGTTTTTTGTTTTTTTTTTTTAACAATATTTGGTTACTCAAAGATGAGTAGGAACTTCTACTCAAAATTTCTCAAAATTGTCGTTATCAATTTATAAAATTTCATGTTTATAATCAGAATCGTTTATATTATAAATCATCCTATAAAGATCGCTGATGACAATGACATCGGTGTTGCAAAACACGCTGAAAGTCTGGGAAGTGAAGGAAAGAGGAAGGAGAAGCGGGCGGTGGAGATGGTGTGATGTTGTGATTGGCAAACTGTCGCAACAAAACCAAAATTCTTCTGCCATTTTTGTCCTACTGCCGCTTGGATTGGGTTGGATGTGAATGGGTTGGATGTGACGGTGTTACTAACATATAGGAATCCATAGGTAAGTTACAACCCAAAGGTAAAATAAATAGTTCTGCACACTAAATTGATGCATTTCATGAAATATCAATTGTAAATTAAGCATGTAATCCAGCAAGCACAGCTTTATATTGAACAAATTTAACATATAATCCAGCAAGCAAAGCAGCATATTGAATCTATTCAAATTTAACATGTAAAAAATTATAGACATTGAGCAACCAGAAATTGTCGTGCAGCAACCATGCACAGCACACCTACACAAAATCCAAAGTGTACCAAATGGGTCTCGATCAAAATTACCTCAAAATTCTAAGTATGAAATGCCTAATTTCTAATCGTACCTTCCCTAAATCCACAAAACCCTAATTTCTTCTTGAATCGAAACACATCACAGAAAATGAAAGAAATTACCAAAATTTGGGAGGAATGTTGGTTGATTAGGCTCTTAGCTGGGCGTCTGCGTTCGATGCGCGGCCTAGCAGTTGCAGCTTTGCTGAAGGATTGGGCGAAGTCGATTCGCACACTGGTGGTGCGTGGCGGCGGCAGCATAAGATTAAAGGAATTTTAACGAAAAGTTTCGGTACTGTTTATGGCCTAGCAGTTGCAGCTTTGCTGAAGGATTGGGAGGAGTCGATTCGCACACTAGTGGTGCGTGGCGGCGGCAGCATAAGATTAAAGGAATTTTAACGAAAAGTTTCGGTACTATTTATTTTAACGAAAAACCACATTTTTACACTAAAAAGTAAATTTTGATACTATTCAATTTACTCTTTATTTTATCCTTATCTTTAAAACTTAAAATTTTCAAGTCTTTTTCATTAGTTTTCCTAAAATTAAATCTCACGGCTATTATAAATTCTAATATATAAAATATAATATATACCAACTTTAAAAAGAAAGAAAAAAACTGATGAGAGAGCCCGTATGATTGTTGGCCCATTATGTGGGTCTCATGCCCAACGCAGACACAGCCCAAATACCACCCTTGTGATTAATTTTGGATTAAATTACATTTTGAACTCTAAGGTTTAGGTGGAATTACAATCCCATACTTGATTTTAAAGACGTTGCAATGTTATATACAAATTTATGTTCTAATCTTAATATCATAGATCGGTTAGCCAAATCGTCAATTTGACCTTTAAATAATGATGTGGCAACTACGAGCACCACTATTTGTTGTCGATGTTGTTGTCAAATTTGTGTCATGTGGACAAACAACAAAAAAAATTATAATGGTTTACAAATCACTTAAACTAATTTCATGAAATTATAATAATAAAATAATCTTAAATATAACAAAAAAAATATAACACTAACAGCCGCCAAACCCGAAAGACCACAGTAACCACACCTTTTCTCTCTTGAGAGGATCTTCCACACCCATTTTGGGGGCAGAAAATCCTCTCTCCTTTCTCTCTATCTTCACCTTCTACTCTTTTTGTACGGCCAAGAGCTTGACAAGCAAGAACATGGCCAGATTAAAGCAAATGCGCATAAATATTTGGTCCCAAAAAATCAAGATATCAAAAAGGAAGATCGACGAATCGCCCAAATTGGGGTATTCAACGAAGGTTCAAGACAAGGCGGATATTCAAATATTGAGTTTCAGGACGTGTTATTGGTGTAAATTTAATTTGAATAATTAAATACGTGAGGGAAGATAAATAAATAATATAAACTATGTTAACAAATATATATTTTGTTGGTCGTAATTGATAACGTGACAAAGAACAAGAACTAAGCGATCAACTTACTCGAATCCTTAACCACAGATGTGCTGCTTTGTTGGATCATCCTCGTGCTCACAATCTTCTTTTTCATGACTGATAATGTGAAGATCCCCTAGCGTTGGAGTGATTGATTTAAATGTACTAGCAATATCTCACACCTGGTTCAACAGTGTTTGGGCGGCACACAAAGTGTTCTTTAGAGTTTTTTTCTTTTTTCTCTGAAGGACAAAACTGATTGCATTATGCATTAGGGTTATAGGAGAAACATAAGGAGTATATATAGACCCCTTGTCGCACCCCCTAACCGCACCTCATTAGGCCTTGACATTGTGGGAACAAGTGAGGTAAGGTGATCGTCACTTACTATTTTCCTTTGATCTGTTGAGGATGGAGGATGTAGGCTTATCTTTAGTCTTGCGGTTGAATTAAACTAGAGACCACAAGACATTAGTGTTAGATGTATATTGAATTCTGTTCTGATATTAGGGCTTAGCTGTTATGTATTTAGCACCTTTTATAAAATATGTCCTTTCACAAGTTCAATTCGATTAGATTGGTATTAAGCAATACTATTTCAGTTTTTGTTCAAAGAATATAAAAATTCTTATTGATTATGATCCATCTATTTATACATACTTGATCTAAACCAATGGAGTTTTCAGAGTAAATTGTAGCAATAGTCCCTTAATTTTAATCAAATTGGAGCAATGGTCGATAAACTAAAAATTCATTACCATTAGTCCTTCAACTCATCAAAATGGGTAGCTATGGTCATTTTCATTAACTTAATCAAAATTTTGTCAAAATGAGTTATGTTGGAAGGACCGTTAGTACAATTGTGGTCCCTTAACTCATCAAAACGTGTAGCTATGGTCCTTTTCGTCAACTTCGTTAGAATTTTGTCAAAACGAATTATGTTGGATAGACCATTGCTACAATTGGGTTAAAGTTGAGGGACCATTGCTCGAATTGAGTTAAAGTTAATGGACCATTTCTCCAGTTGGATTAAGGTTGAGGGACCAATGGTAATAAATTTTTAGTTGAGGGACCAATGATAATGAACTTTTAGTTGAGGGACTATTGCTCCAATTGAGTTAAAGTTGAGGGACCATTGCTACAATTTACTCGAGTTTTCACCATAGCACTCTATTTACTTGTATATGCCTACTTTCACTTCTAAGGTAGTTTGGTTTTAGTTATTTATATATATATTACACTTGATATACTAACTAATTAGTTTTAAAAAGAAAATCTATTTTGATTGAACGTTAAAGCTGATATACATAATACCTTTGCCAATTATATTTTTATGTCTACAATATATATAGTTTTATGCTATTATTTGGATTACATTATTTGTAATATTGATAAAGCTTTTATATATCTATAAGTTAAATCCTATTTAAGCTTACTTTATTCAATCGTTTCTTCTATTATGGCAAATCTATTTTACATGGTACAGAAGTGTTATTTGATCCGAGTTATGCGGAATTTGTAGCTTATTAAGTAATTCTATTCGGATTAGTTCATGTCATGCATTTAGTGATATGTTTATACTTGTGAAATAGGTACTGACCAAGGTGGTGGTGCCTTTTGTTACTAACTCAGAGCAATGGTTTGGAATCTAGGTAGAGGAAATACGGCAGACCTTTACATAGATTGATTTTATTAAATTTCATGAAATACTATTATTATTGTTGATCTCATTCGTCTATAATTCTTGTTGAGTGTTACTTGGAAATGTGTACATCATTGTTTTGTTGGATCGTTGTTTGCTATTGTCTATGGAATTACTCTTGGTTGAGAATATACTGTGGTATATGTAAATGCTGAATTCAAAGTATTTGTGAAATCATTCATAATGTGTCATGTGGTTGGAGTTACGACGTTGAGAAAGGAATTGGAAATGAGGGTAGTTGGAAAGGATCCTTTGTGTAGTTGAGCCAAACTCTTAGTAGGTACCAAGTCTCAGGCGAGCCAACAATTTCTTTTAGGGTAATTCGGGATTGACGACAAAAGGGTTTTGGCAAGACGGCTAACAAAAGGGGAAATTGGGATGACGAGTTATAGGCGTTAGTTCATATAATTACTCACTCGGGACCAATTGGTATAAGTACAAAATGCGACATACGAGGTCTGATTATTTAGTTATATGAATTAGCGGGTGTAGATGAAGAGTATTGCATTGTGCTCATGCACTGTCATTAATTTCATCACTTGATTACATAATTCATCACTTGACCAATCGTGGCTTGTACCTCTCAATAGACACATTAGCTTTGTACAACGGAACCGAAGTCCACGTTTGATTCTTATGAAGTG